ATATATATATATATATATATATATATTATATGATGATAATATTTTGATTTCAGGATGACACTTGTGCTTGGACCCCCGGAGTCTGGAAAGTCAACGTTTTTGAAAGCCTTATCGGGAAAATTAGATTCGAGCTTAAATGTAAGCAATCATTCATTAATCTTTGCCTTAAAGCTCCTAAAAATATTGTAATTTGTTTTTTTTTTACATTAATTATATCTTTTCACTCGAATAGTTTGCAGGAAAAGTCACGTACAATGACGAGAAGATGGATCGTGGCATCCTGCAGAGGATGTGTGCGTATGTTGGTCAACGCGACCTCCACCACGCCGAGATGACTGTGAAGGAGACGATTGAGTTCGCTCGACGAATGCTAAATGCCGGAAATCAATCTGGTGATCCTAATTATATTATCCGTACGATTAATCATAATGATAAATTTATAATACAACATGAATCACCTGCAAAACAAGAACAAGAAATGGCGGATTTTAAATAGGAATTTGCAATCGCGGTGTTAGGATATTCTCATCACCTGATGGCCTCGCAAGAGATGGGCGCAGGAAAGAACGAAGGGGTTGACTCGATTGCTGAGGTAGTGATTTGATTTCTTGACACATCGAAATGAATTCGTAGCGCTGATTTCTCTCATAAATGAATCGTGCAGGGAAAAGATCACACGAGAGAAGATGAAGGGGACTTTGTGGTCAACTATATTCTCAAGGTATGTGCCTAAATAGTCAAAATCAAATACTCAGATACAGATTTTTGGATGTTGAAGTAGCACAAAGCCATGCTGTATAAACAAAGTGTAGAATGTCATATTTTAATTTACAGAGTGATTTAAAGATATTACAATAACCAAGACATTCAACAATGAACTTTGACTCTTTAAGGTTCAAAGTTGATGATACCATATCGGCAACATGACGATAACTGATAGCTAGGATTTGTCCAACATGAAAGTTGGAATCTGTTCTTTTCGATAGATATCTGCTATCACAAGACAGAATACAAATTCTAGTGACACAACAATCACTGATGTTGGCACATTTGCATAATCCTGTGTGTATCACAGCTTATTTTGATTTTCTCCAAAATTTGCATCGGTGTCAGCCTCCTGCATTGGGATAGAATTATCAGCATTATTTGCATGCCAGTCGCTAATTGAAATGATAAGAGAAACTTCTTTTCTACAAACAACTTTAGCAATAAAGATATTGAACTGCAAGTGTTCTTATCCGCAACAATTCTGCTCACATTAGTCATGATTTAACCTTTCAGATAACTGGCTTGGATGAGTGCGCCGACACACTAATAGGTGATGAAATGAGAAGGGGAATATCTGGAGGACAAAAGAAAAGAGTCACCATAGGTAGGAAACACATGGTTGATCTTGTATCCCTCCCCTTGGTAACATGCTCTTAGACAAAGCAACTCTCGATTAGCTAGCATAAAACTATTGTGGATGAACCAATGGACTAAAAAATGGTACCCACATACTTTGTCTTGCAGGAGAAATGCTAGCGGCACCAGCACAATGTTTTTTCATGGATGACATTTCAACTGGGCTTGATAGCTCCACTACATTTCAGATTCTCAAGTATTTGCAGCAGTTGACGCATGTTTTGGATCTCACCATGGTTATATCTTTACTTCAACCTACTCGAGAGGCATTTAACCTGTTTGATGACATAATCCTCTTATGTGAGGGGCGAATTGCTTACCAAGGACCACGACAACATGTTCTTGAATTTTTTGAGTCAATGGGCTTCAAATGTCCTGATAGGAAGAACGTCGCCAACTTCCTTCAAGAGGTACCAACTACCAGTTGTTCCTTAAAGTTAACAGGTTCCTGATCACTTGTCTCCTGGATAGTTAAAAAATTGTTTTGTAGATTTTCAAACTGGACCATTAGGAACTTAAAAAAGAGTCAAGATATAAGTACCAGAAAACCAAGCGACAAGGAATTCTTATTTCTCAATAGAGAACACATTTTCAGAAAAAAATAAAGAAAGCAAGGAACATATAGGTCATTTTTCTTTTTAACAGAAACACCAACCTCGTTCTGAGTATGCTAAGATTTGCAGAACAATATTGACAATTTGTTATTCTTGCATTAATGCTTTAGGTGCATCATTCAGGACCATTATGTTGGCAAGAATTGTCCAAGCAGATAGCATATCCATATATAATCTTACAACAGAAAGCTATATCTACATCGGAATTTGTACTTCATAATTAAGTACCTAATAGTAAGCAACATGCTCATTGAATGCACCAAGCTTCAAGGACTTACTTCTAATGGCTAATTAATGTTGTTAAAATCAGTTGAGTAGCAATCCGATCAGACCTCTAGTCACTAGGTACCTCATTGGTCGGACCAGTGGGTAAAATTAGTCATGTTACATGTTTAATGAATACATAACAGAGCTTCAGACATCAAGTTAGTAATTTTAAATGAATAATAGCAACTTAAGACTTGATTTCAAGGTTTCGAGGTCCTCTTATATTTAATTTCTCCTTTCCTCTATAGGATAAAACTACCCTAGCCAATGATAGTTAAAGTGTGCTGGGTCAATCCAATTAAATAGTTAAACTACCGTAGCCAATGATAGTTGAACTAGGTCAAACTACCGGAGCCAATGATAGTTAAATAGTTAAAACTACCCTAGACAAGTAAGATAAAGAGTTCTAGGTCATCTTTGGGCCATTTAAAATCTACTGGTTCAGTTTGGACTAGCCAGTTCTTCTAATTCAGTTATTCAAATTTCCAATCAATAGTTGAATCAGGCTGGCCAAGGACCCAATCATGTTTAAAAATGATTGGGTAAAATTAGTCATATTCAAATTTAAAAATGAATTCTCACAATAGATCCAATATATTGGAACAAAAAAAAAAATAGTCCTCATGTTTTTAAATTATAAAATTGTGAAATGATGAATTTTGCAAGATCTAGGTAATTTAACACGGTCATGTTGTTTGGTTCAAGATCCCCTTTTTTTTTCCGACTTCACACGATCTTGCTCCTTGGTGCCACGACAAGGTTGGTCCTTTACCACCTAAGTAACCAACATCCAAGTTACAGAAACAACCAATTTGTATGCAAAAATAAGGTTGTACACATTGACCCTTTTAGATTTTGTATTCACTTTTGCATCACAAACTAGGCTGCCCTTATGCTGTCATCTTAGTGACCTTGAATCTTGAAAATGTGTCTAATAATTTTCTTTTTCGAATTTTTGTTAGATTAGTTTCTCTTTGGAAATATATCTGCTCAACATTTCTTTCTAAAAAAAAAAGGTAGAGAGCATTAAAGATTTTTTTTTTCTGAAAGAGAGTTGAAATCCAACTCATTTTCACTAGAGATCCTTTGGCATTGGAAGTTGTATGCCGTACCCATCTTCTAAATTGATGATATCACGGTTTGATAGTATGGACCATGGATTATATGACCTGAAGAATCCTGTGGAATCTGAATGCATACACTATATGTGAGCGTCCAAATATGAAAAAACAAACCATATGACAAAGGAATTTTTGTTTAAGCACATCAAGTAAATATGTATCCTACAGCCAGTAATGAATCAAGCATTGCTCTTGCGAGGCCTTTTGTTTCAGGAATATTTTCTAATGGATTGGTTTCTTGGTACGGACTAATGTAGGTAACATCGAAGATGGATCAAGAACAATATTGGGTGAATAACAGAAGCACATACCAGTACGTACCCGTGCAGAAGTTCTCAGATTCCTTTGGCTCTTCCCATTATGGCCAGCTTCTTCAGAAAGACTTGCACATGCGATACAGCAGTAAAAAGAGTGATCAGATGATCGGAATAAAAGAAAGATATAGCATCCCAAAGTGGGATGTATTCAAGGTCTGCTTCTCAAGGGAGAAGTTATTGATGAAGAGGAACTCCCCAGTTCACATATTCAAGGCCATACAAATAGTACTCTTGGCTATTGTGATTATGACAGTTTTCTTTCGATCAAAAATGAAACATCAGACAATTGACGATGGGAGCCGTTATATGGGAGCCATTTTTGCTGCAGTAGTTATAGTGAAGTTTAACGGCATGACAGAGTTGGCAATAATGGTAAAAAGACTTCCTATCTACTACAAGCAGAGGAAAGTATTAATTTTACCAGGATGGGCACTCCTTTTATCTATTACAATCCTTAGTATCCCAATGTCATTCATTGAAACAGGTCTGTGGACAAGTTTAACATACTACATGATTGGCTTTGCACCATCAGCAGTTAGGTAGGAGAATAGTTTACCCTCTTTCCTCTGAATACAATGGATATAAAGAGATTAGATGCCATTTGTATATTCATACATCTGTTTTCATGGTAGATTCCTCCAGCAGTTCTTGGCTTTGTTCTGTGTGCATCAGATGTCAATGGCACTCTTCCGTTTTATAGCTATTATTGGGAGAACACAACTTATGGCAAATACAATTGGAACTGCCTCTCTAATAGCAATCTATATACTTGGGGGATTTGTCATATCAAAAGGTAGATAGTTTAGTTCTTTTTCTTTTTCTCCTTAAAAGTGCAAGTTTCTTTGTCTATCTCAATCTAATCATTAACTATTTGTTTCCTATGCCTGATCAGATAGCATACAGTCATGGTTAATTTGGGGTTATTGGTTCTCTCCTGTAACATATGGTCAGAATGCAGTAGCAATCAATGAATTTCTTGATGAAAGGTGGAGTATGGTAAGCTCCAACTTCTCCATGTAGTGGAATGTAAATAATCATTACTCTGTCCTAATGCAAACATAATAAGAAGTAGTGAACATGGAGAATATGGACATAAGAGTGATGCAATAGATTGATTGTAGCCCTTTGATGCACTATTTTGTCACTAAAAAGACTTTGTGGAAGTTTAAATGTGAATTCTACTAAACTTCAATAAACATGTGAAGATCTGAAATATCCATGTTATACTGTTACCAAACAATTATCATAAACATTTTAGCTTATGTTAATTCCAAAATCGAATAAAATCTTGAATTGTAAGCTGGATAGTTTCTACTCAGAAGTTAGATTTGCTTAATAATATTCAATATAATCCCTCCTAGATCAGTGAGAGCACTCATTATATCTATTCTAATCTTAACAGAATTCCGAGGATGGAGAAAGCACTAATGATACAATTGGGAAAACCATCCTTAAATCGAGAGGGATGTTAACAGAATCACACTGGTACTGGTACTCTGTGGCAATATTGCTTATATTTGCACTGGTCTTCAACATTTTCGGCATCTTCGCGCTTGAGTACCTCAAAGGTCTATATAATTTCCATAGCTTCATCTTCAAGTGTATATATGTTTGTTATGTATGTGTTTCTACATAAAGTTAAGCTAGCATCCAGACTTCATCCTTCTGAATCAAAATTAAAATTGAGAGCTCCAAACTAGAAGATCAACTCTAATGAACATGATATCCAATATGTATAAGACTAAGAACATTTGGATCAACAGTAATATGTTAATGAGACACAAAAAAAAATCATGTCTTCAATCCTATATATCAATTAGACACAAACAGTAAGCCAATCTAATGACCTAAAATTATGTTAATGAGAGTAAAAAACCAGAGGCACTAAAGTCATTAGATTATAGTATGTGTGCATCTCAGAACATTTTGGATCAACATCACTGATCTGAATCCTCATCTAAATTGGCCTGAAATATATTTCAGAACATAAATAAATTTTAAACCACTGATTTAATCTTGGCTCGATAAACATCCAGAAGATTTTTAAATTGCAAAAGTCTTGGTTTCTAGGCTTTTTAAAAATCTGTAAATCATGTCACAGAGAATTGATCTTTAATTTGGAGCCTCCGTCATTGATTTTCAATCAGTAGGATTTAAGGCTCAATCCAGCTAGGAGAAACTCTAAATATCTGTCAAAAGATTTTTAAGTTGGATTTTCCATAAAAATGCAGCTCCCAAAAAGAGGCGTGCCAACATGAAAATGTGGCCTAAGGATTTTAAGAAGATCAACAAAGCTGATGACCAAGCAACTTCAGCAGCATCCCAAAGTAGGATGTCTCTACCATTCCAGCCTCTGACAATTGCATTCAGCAATATTAGTTATTATGTTGACGTACCTAAGGTAAACTATAGAATTCTTGCCTTTCCAATATCACCAATATTCTATCTCAAGAAATTTGTACAATGTCAGATTTATTTTCATCATTCTAACTTATCACTCAATTATCACTAATTAGCAATTGAAGAAATTTGGAATCAAGGAGAAGAGACTCCAGTTGTTAAAGGGTGTTTCTGGAGCTTTCAGACCTGGAGTACTAACTGCACTCATGGGGGTCACAGGTGCTGGGAAGACAACATTACTAGATGTTTTGGCAGGAAGAAAAACAGTTGGGCACATCGAAGGAAGCATCAACATATCTGGATACCCTAAAAAGCAGGAGACCTTTGCTAGGGTTTCAGGATACTGTGAACAAGTAGATAATCATTCTCCTTGTCTAACAGTTTTTGAATCTCTATGGTACTCAGCATGGCTTCGTCTGCCATCCCAAGTCGATGGGCACACAATAAGTGTATGTTGCTCCAAAACCAAGATATGCTACACATTTATCGCATAAAGTGGTGGCATATGACAAACATAATAAGATATTTGCATACAATGTGTGCATGGACTTGTCACCGTGTATTATTAGTGCATCTAGTTATACTTTTCTTTTGGTTTTAAAATAGATAAAACTTATATATTATTTTTTTCCTTGTTTTTTCAGATTTTCATAAATGAGGTAATGGAACTGGTTGAGCTCAAGTCATTGAAAGATGCAATGGTAGGTTTGCCAGGAATAAAGGGACTTACAGCAGAACAACGGAAACGTCTGACGATAGCAGTGGAGTTGGTTTCAAGCCCTTCTATCATATTCATGGATGAACCCACAACAGGTTTAGATGCTCGGGCTGCAGCAATTGTCATGAGAACAGTCAGAAAAACAGCAGATACCGGGCGTACAATAGTGTGCACAATCCATCAACCAAGTATTGAGATGTTTGAAGCTTTTGATGAGGTAATTTGATGATTGATGGCTATTACAGTCTCTCATAATTAAAGAGAATATGACACATCACACATGTGACATAAGCAAAAGTAGAAAGATCAGGTAATCCCATCCCCCAACACAACAACTAAAGAAGAAATATCATGTTTGGATGGCCACGAAAATATTTTGTTATTTCTTTTTCTCTTTCTTACCTTATTTACTTCTTTCATGCCCTTGTACTTAGTATTGGCATGCAGGTGCTGATTGCACATCCAGACTAGAAACCAACCAGAATAAAAGAATTTGGCAAAATAAAATATAGATACTAGGGTTCAGAGGCCAAGTCCAGTTATGACATGTGTAATCAAGAATGGATTCTGAAACTTGAAAGTTGCAGCAAATGCAACATATATAAATATAACTAATACTACTCACATTAAAGCATATTCTTTCCATTTGAAATATGAAATTTGAAAAAATAAAAGGCAAAGCAAAATGATAGCAGCACAAGAAATAAGGATATCATTACTCTTTCTCTTGTGACAAAGAATAATGTTCGGAGAAGCAAAAGAAACCTGATAATTTTTCGAAACACCTGAGAATATAGGGATAAATATTTACATCTAGAAGTATACAAGGGTTTGTGAAAAATCATGTGAACACCTGCATGTAGAATATACACATTACTCATATCTGGTGCAATGCTTGTTATGGAGCATCATAATACATGAATGCTTCGAACCTAAGATTAGACTTGTACGATCATGGTTTTCAATCATTCCTTCTAAATTCATAAGAGTAAATTTGTGTTTTAGTTTTCTCAGCAATTGCACATTTTTTATTACTAATAAATCTAGAAATTCAATTTTAAATTATGTATCAGCATCTTTGCACACTTGCCTATAGCATTTGGGAAAATATAGGGAATGGTTATCAACACATGTTATATGAATGTTTTTGCCTAGCAATATTTGTCTCTTATTTAAGAGGACTACAAGGCAAATTCCAGAATAACTAAAATTTCCATTAAGCATCATATTCACATTAACTTTTTTATTAATAATTTCTGCTTAAGGAATCAAATATTAGTCGGACTGGTACATACCGACCAGTAATTACCAATCTAATCAAGGACGGGAACTAGACCATTGAAGTCGATAATTTTTTTATTATTCTTCCCTATGATACCAGATAGTATAGGTTGGTATATTGGCACCTCACCATTCTGACCAGTTGCCAAAAACTAGTACTGGATCCAGATTTAACTGCTTGCTTCTGCTGTCGTTGCATACTAACAAATGTGCAAATTGTGCGTGAATCATGGGTAAAGCAACAGGTAGTAACACTTAAGCTACAAATGTGTCAAAAAGTTCTTTACTGCTTATAGCTTACTTCAATGGACTACAAGATATACTAAGGATAAAGAATAACACTTTGAACAATTTTTGTAACAGTGATTCATGTTGTAGAAATAGAGATCAATCTTGACACTAAGTGACCCACAAGAGATTATCAAATTCAGAGATTTCTTTGGTGGGGGGCCAGCGATAAAAGTTGTAATAAAATAATTTTCTGCAATGGAGAGGGGAAATGAAAGGAACCTGATAGCTTGAGCAAATAGCAAGTTGCACCCCAGATGAAAGTAAAGCTGTTAATTAGGATAAAGGCCTTAAAATGTCAGTTTAAAGGAAATATCAGACAAGCACAAGATAATTGTTATACTTGGAAGTCACTCATGTGGAGTGCTTTTTTATATGCAAAGGGTTCTAATTGACAAAGTCCTTCAATGAAAGGAAAGCAACGGTGAAACATGAACCTCATATACCATATAAAGAATATAGTGCCTTCTAATACTTGCTCAGACATGTAGCAAAACAATCTGATCTACTTGTAATTTTCAGAGATTACCAACCTTGGAAGTTTAACATTTTGCTACAATTATTGTTATCTGTTGCAGTTAGTCCTAATGAAACAAGGAGGGCAGTTAATATATGGAGGACCTTTAGGCAGTTTATCGCAAAACATGATACAATACTTCGAAGTAAGAAACAATCAGTATGTACAAAATTCTGAATTTGTAAGAAGTTTGTTTAACCAACATCTACAAATGTTTTTCCAGGATATTCCAGGAGTGCCACATATCAGAGATGGTCAAAATCCTGCCACGTGGATGTTGGATGTCACTTCTCCAGCCATGGAATATAAGCTTGGCATAGACTATGGAATCATCTTTAGCAAGTCATCTTTGCACATGTAAGCTCATATTATTACTACATAGAAAATTATTGACCAGCATTTAGATTAGTTTTATTTCCTCTTCAGAGAGAACATGAAATTGGTTGATGAGCTGAGCAGAAGAAAAACGAATGAAAAAGATCTACACTTCCCATCCAAATATGCAAAAAGCTTTTGGTCATTGTGCATCTGCTGCCTATGGAAACAGCACAAGTCTTACTGGAAAAATCCAGAGCACAACATAGTTCGTTTCATCATCACAATTACAGTATCAGTCCTATTTGGCATAGTCTTCTTCAGAATTGCTACCAAGATGTAAGCAATAAAACTCATTTTTATCCTCTTTTAAGTGATAAGTTTACTGAATTTCTATAATCAAATAACAGAAGGACCGAACAAGATATTTTCAACATTCAAGGAGCTATATATGGTTCAGCACTGTTTATAGGCTTTGCAAATGCCAGTATATTACAACCTGTTGTGGAAATGGAGAGAACAACATTTTATCGTGAAAGGGCATCCGGGATGTATTCTTCTATGACCTATGCCATTGCTCAGGTACTCTCATTTCGTCATGTGCATTTTATATGAAGAACTATCATGTGACAAGTTAATTTGCTGCCAAGAAAATTATAAAAATTTTCTAGTAAATCTTTTATAAGTCAATCATGTTTCTGCATGTTTTCCATCTTTAAACTAGGTAATATTGTAACTCAGAAACTTAGCTCAAACAGAGAACTACAAATATGTTATCCATGTGTAGAGGACATGGCAAAAGACGGGCATGGCAAGACTTGGTTAAAACTTGGAAGAACCCATTGAATTGATTTTCCTTGATCTTAGAAACACTTTCCTAAAGTCTATGAGACAAATCCAACAGAAAAGACCATGTATTAAAACCAATAAAATAGTGACTTATCAACAAGCGAGGCCAGATTCACAAAACCCACATTACAAGAAAAGAAAGGTCTAGGTTGGGCTACTGCTGTAGTGTCTTAGAATAATTTCGGCCAATTTTTTTAGTTCCACTTTATACAATTTATTAACCAGTAGCTTCCTCGAATCATGAAAAATAAAATCACAGCAATTCTTTTTGAACTCTATGTAGGTAAACATGTAAAGAAAAAATATATATGAGGATTGAAGTTGACCAACTAATCAGAGGGACAACAAAGTTATAAAGAAGAAATGCATTAAGGAACTAATTCATTGAAGGACCAAACAAGGATTGAGAACCCCAACTTGTGAATCATGTCAAAAATGGACAGAATTTAAAGTTTAAACAGCACATATTGGTCCAATCAACAACAAATAATGAATCATCCAGTACTGTATTGCTTGGCATAGTGCATACCAAGGTCTGTCATAACGAAACATACCGCCCATACTGGGCGGTATGTACCGGTCCGACAGGTTAACGGTACGCGGACCGTCTGGTACCACTACAGTGCTACAGTATTATATTGTAGCACTGCTACAGTATGAAAAAAAATATATAAAATTGTTCGGTACACCAAGGTGTACCGCTCGGTATGCCCTTGTGTACCGTCCGGTACACCAGTACCATACCGTACCGAGCCCAGGTCGAAACGCCGGTACGGTACGGTACGGCGAACCTTGGTACATACCATTCATTTTTTTATTATTTTTTCAACAATACTAGGTGGTACAGGTCAGCACACCATTCTGTATTTTGGTACCATAAAACCTTGCCATATATAATTTGTCTTGTTGGCAATAATTTGTTGCACATGAGCATGAAAGAGATAATTTGTTAAAAGACTAGATGCTAGCATGCTGAAAAACACTCCTCCCTCAAGATGAGAAAGAGAAAAACGTATGAAATTTTATGAACATCTACAAAATTTTTTAACATAGTAAAAACAGAAACAAATAAGTAAATTATTTGTAAGAATCATAGTTAAAAAAAATTTATGATAAATTCATCAAAGAAAAATAAATGTTTACACATAAACATCATTTTGTATACATAGTAAGTCTTTTTCCAAAGTGTGTGCCTGTTAAGACAAACATCAATATGGTTTATGTGCCAGTAAGGCCATAGATGTCAGAACTAAAACACCACTACCGAATATGATAACTCGAGCAACCAGATTCTACTAAGTGTAGGGGAGGATATCATGACAAGGCATGTTGGTAAGGTACATATTGTATACGTTTGTTGAATTTGAAAGAACCTGTCACTGACAATCTATGGGGCTTGCTAGATCTGTATGAACTAATCCTATCAAATATGATTGATCAACAAGACTATCAATTTGATATTACACAAGGACATATTAAAATATTGATACCCATGACACCTTTAGATTCTATGAACAGCATCATCTCAAGATCAAGATATATCTTTCTGGATGTGATTCATATTTGTTGTTCTCAGTTGTCACTATCCCATAACAACAAGATGGTAACGTTAAGTAACTAGATGATGTTAATTGGCACAATCATGATAACATAAATCTTAGTGATATTACAGTGCTTCTATTACCAAATATGCTAAAAAGAATAGCTCGTAGGCTTAAGAGAAATTGTTAGGTTCACCATAAATATGTGAATATTATTTCTATTTGAAAGCTTCATTTATGCTGATGGTGTCTGGCACCTGACATGCTGTAACAGTATCTTTTGGTTCAGAAAATGTGAATAGCTTTAATGGTCCCTAAACTAATTAACTCTTCATATGTAACCACTAATTTCTTATTTACAGGTGGCCATTGAAATTCCTTATATCATAGTCCAGGTGCTTATTTTCTCGATAATAGTTTACCCAATGATGGGATTCCAATTTGTAGTAGCAAAGTTCTTCTGGTTCATGTTCTTCATGTTCTTAAGCTATATCTACTATGCACTCTTCGGGATGATGACAGTGGCAATAACACCTAACCAAGAAATAGCAGCTGCTCTTTCGTTTTTCCTCTTTGTCTTATGGAATATCTTCTCAGGTTTCTTCATTCCCCGAAAGGTATCTAACATTCTAAATCTGAACTTCTTCACTTTTATATGTTATCCTGACTCATTGGGTTTGTGCAGATGATACCAAGTTGGTGGAGATGGTATTATTGGGTCGATCCTGCTGCATGGACTGTTTATGGTTTGATGGTTTCACAATTAGGAGACAATGTTGATCTTTTGCATGTTGCTGGGAGATCAGATGAGACTGTGAAGGAGTTCCTTAAGGAATATTTTGGTCTACAGGATAAATATCTATCACTCATTGTGTCTCTTCATGTTGCAGTTATCATATTATTTCTTTTCGTCTTTGGATTCAGCATCAAGAATCTGAATTTCCAGAAACGATAGGATAAGAGTCATGATTATTCATGCAACCCAAATACAAGAAAGAACTTTTATACAAGGAAAGGGCATCATTAATTTGTAAATATTGGGATGCTAGTAATAGTCGCTCTCTGTTTCTCCTTATTTTCTCTTGATTAAAGTTAAATTACAGTGATAAATACAGGATAAATATCTATTACTCGTTGTGTCTGTTCATGTTGCACGGATCGTATTATTTGTTTTAGTTTTTGGATTCAGCATAAAGTATCTGAATTTCCAGGAATGATAGAATCAGAATTACTAAATTTTATGCAACGAAAAGAAAAGAATGAACTCTTATACAAGGACATTATTAATTTGTACAATGTTGGGGTGTTAGTAATCAAGGATCATAATTTCGTACCGTACCAGAGTTTCGAGTGTAGCTCGGTATGGTATGATCCAGAGTACCGAGTGGTACACCAAGGTGTACCGCTCGGTATATATATATATATATATATATATAAAAGTTTAAGAAAAAGGCAACATCGCCTCCTTTTTCTACCCGTGTGGGGAGAAGAAACCGAGGTTTCCTTCTCCCTGCGCAAAAGAGGGCGATAAGGCACGTCGCCGCCTCGTTTCTTCTGCTTGCGTGGGGAGAAGAAACGTTGCCTCGACGATGCTCCGTTTCTTCTCCCCGCGATGTCGCCGAGGCTTCTATTCCTTGCGCGAATGAGGAGAAGTCGTCGATAACGCTAAGGCCTCGTCGCCTCAGACGAGGAGGAGGCGACATCTCATCTGCGATGTCCGACGAGGGAGGTTGGCGACGGATCAGGATCATCGAGGGAGAGCAACGCCGGATCTCTAGGTTCTCTCTTTTCTTCTCCCTCTTCTTTCTTCTCCCTCGGCTCTCCCTCAGCTAATACCATCCGATAGCGGGCGGCGACAGTCAAAATCAATCGTCACCGACTGATTTAGGGTGGTAACGGGGTGGAAGCAATCCCAATCGATGGTACCGCCTGGTAACAGGTGATCTGCGTATCGGTTTGCTAGCGGACCGGTGCGTACCGCCCAGTATGGACGGTATTATTCGAAATTAAAATCTTTGCTAGTAATAGCCTATCCTTTATTTCTCATTATTTTCTCTTAATAAATAACAGCAATCTAAAATTCTTCATATCATTAGGGGCATTTGTCATTTGATTGTAACATAGTAGAACCATAGACTCAAATCAACAGTACTGTTTTTCTCCACTAAAACAATAAGTGCATGCCTTCTCCCATCCAAGATAAGACCGAGGGATCATTATAATTGTTGCACATTAATTATAAAATAAATGGATCATATCAGACAAAAAAATCATAGGATATATATCTGTCATATGAATAGCTCAAAACTCACCCATTGCAACTATGAAGATATTAATGGATCCCACTCTGACTTGAATGCCTATCTGATCACCAAGCTAGCTGAGCATTGAGCAATGTTAACACAAGAAAAGGACTCTCTTTGACATGAGAAACCAAGGAATGTAATTTCCCCTGTTTCAATACAGTACGATCAGTATTTATGGGTTCAATGACCAACCAGCAAGTGGACCAACCCAAGTTTGGGCGGCTCAAGTGTAATACAGACCAATTTTGGCCTATAATGGGTTTGGACTAGTCTGTCATAGATAAGTTTGTACATAAGGTATTCGATGTAATGTTTTTGTATATCCGTGTACTTCAGTTTTGCAAATTGTGCACGACCGTCGCGTAAAGGCAAAACTGTTCAAAAATAGGCTATCCAATTCCAGTCAACCATTTTGGGTTAGAGCAGTGCAAAATGTCAATCACCTCAATACCCTAAAGCTACTCGGGTGGCACATGGTTGGATGGGCCTTTAGGATATTATCTAGGGCTGGTTTACTATATTATTGCACAGCAATGTCATATAGGCACTTGTGGAGACTTTTGGCCCGCGGTAGAATGTCTTGGACTTATTGTCGTGTGAACATGTAGAGCTTACAAAGTCCATATTTGTATTTTACATTGTGCTAGGGGCAAACGTCCAGGATCCAAACAATGGCTCTCCATGTCTCCAACTTCAGTAAAGTCATCGGACTACAAGAGCTACCGGGCAATGAAGTGTCCCAAAACTGCACTTCATCCGTGAGCGACCAAAGTGTGGGTGAACGAAGGTCAATTGTCAAACGAGCAAACACAATTGGAGATGACAAAGGCCCTACGATGTGACGACAAAGGCCACACAATGAGATATCACAGTCCAAGTTCATCACATAAAGATTGGAGTACAATGGAGATATCACCAAAAGGCGACATGATGTAGCGGATCATGGTGGATAGTTTGAGGCAACGCAACACACACAGGAGAAATCCCGTGAGGAACTTGATCATCCAGGGGAATGATCAAGAGGTGTTGGGAGCTCCGTTTTGGTGAGTAACACGATGACAAAAATGACTATGGATTCAAAAAGTGAATGTCATTATATCACAGAGATGTCTTCTATGTATGTATCGAATTTTGCATCGGACAAAAGCATTGATCATCAGTATATGGGAGCTATATTCTACCAATGGGGATTTTCAAGTACTGCAGAATTTTGTTGTCTTTTAAAGGCACTTTGATTGATCTAATGGGGACTTTCAAGTGCAAGTACCAGTGAGTCCCATGGGGGGGTTTGGATCAATCAAAGTGCCTTTAAAAGACAAGAAAATTCTGCAGCAACCAAGTAGGCCAATAGACAAAAAACAAACTTCATCCCGAGGTTCCTATACTTCTTTGGAATATTTGTAAAGATCCAATTATACTATTATAGAACCCAATATATATGTCATATAGAGGGGAAGAGATGCCCCAAGTACTTTGCAAACTTGCACCATAACACAATGGGGTAACACAGTCGAAACAAATGGTTGCAAGTTTTAGTTGAACACTGGTAGAAACCACAAAAGCTATGCCCATGGAAAGAGTTCCAATTACATCTAGCAAGATTTTCTTCAGTGGGCATAGCCAATTATTAATCATTTAATGTTTTTTTTTTCTTTTTGAGACACAACTACCTGCAAAACTTTTGCAAACTTCACTGGCTTTAGTACATAATTTTATATATATGTACAATAAGCAACATATGGATCATCCTCAATGGAGGCCTCAGAATTCCTTCGTCAAACTTTATTACGAAACTGCAGGTCCTTAACGATTTCCATCCATATACATAAATCATGTGCTCATCACAAATATTCTAAGATAGTTTATGTAACACCTCTAATTATTTTACTCTCATGTTGGAAGTGAGAAAAGAATTTAATTGAGTTTAAGAGTTTGTTGGATGTACTATTATTAATTTAGATTTAAGAACTTTGGATCACTGGTTCAGCCTCAGTAAGTTAATGAGGCAGCTATCCCATCAATCTGGATCATGAAAATTAATGTTTGAGCAAATGTTTGATTAATGAGGGAGGCTATCCCATCAATCTGGATATGGTGAGGGAGGCTAGAGGAGTGAGGAGATTGTAACTCATATCGGAAGTGGGAGAAGAATTGAACTGGGCCATAAAAGTTTGATTGATGTATTACTATTAATTTGGATTTAATCATTTTATATCTAATCATTTTGGATCAATGATTCAGGCTAATAAGTTAATTAGCCTATTATCCAATCAAGCAAGGTCATGAAAGTTTCCCAATTATATCATCAATGTTTTCCATCAACATATGTACAGTAAATTGGTGACCAAAATGTTATACCCGAGGCATAAGATCATTACTAAATGCACCTTAATGCTTGAAATTGGTTCAACTAAGATAATGCAAATACGTTAATGAAAAATTTTGCTCGACGTTACATATGTAGGGATCTTTATATGACAGTCAACGATTGAAATTTAGGCACAAATTTAAAGGGTTAAGCATGCCATCTTCCCAAGTCTAGAATGGTTGTCTCTCGAGGCCTTTCTATATCATAATTATGTGTCCAAACCCACAAAGTAAACTTGTCAAGCGTTTGAACTACTGAATTAGAAACTAGATTTACTCCCAATGCAGCATCACATCGAATATATAAAAGATACGAATTGACGAATGAAATGGAAAGGAATATTGAAATCAAACCCAAGAAAGCATAGAAGGTACGAAGATACATACAGAATAGATGACCTTCGCTCTTTGTTCTGGCGTGGTATCATGGTTAAAAATCCTTCAGGGTAAACGCAAAAGGAGCTGTCCTCATGAGATACAACCCTAGCTCCTCCAAGACGTCCCTCTCCGTTCTTCTCTATCCGTCATCCCTAATGATGACCAGGGAGGGCGCAAGGCATCTTCAGAAGGTATTGCTCGAACTAAAGCTGCCTTCCCCATTGATTGAGCACTGCAAATGGACGGAAAAATCATAATCTCTGAAAGTCAATGTGTGTATCAAAGATTTGGTATTGCGTGTGTTTCAATCGTGCAAGCATGAAACTGGGCTTATTCTTTTACCCTTCCCCGGGTTCTACCTTCTTCCCTTCCTCCTCACTTCAAATTGGACGATCTCCGACGCTGGCGTCCGACGAAACCACGCTGAGCGGCTCGGGATCGCCTCCCTCTACTTGACACCTTCGCACTGTCCCTCGAAAAGAATCCTTTGTTCTCCCCTTTTGTACATAAAGTAAAACCAACAAAATTGTAGATTTAGAGAATAAAAAAAAGAAATAAATAAATTGCAGCTTAGAAAAATAATGAAAACTTAATTAAAAAAGAAAAAAAATATTTATTCAAATATTTAAAATTTTCTTATATGTCACTGTCATTAAGTTCATTACTGCTAATCGTGATTATCACTAATTACTGGACTAAGTTAATTACTGCTCCCTCAATACCATTGAAAAGGAAGAAAAGACGAAGGAGGAGGAGGAGGAAGAAAAAAAAAATATTTATGTAAATTTATAAATGAATAGTTTAGAAATATTATAAAATTTTAAAATAAGATTATGAATAATAAAAAAGTTATAAATAGTAATATCCTTTGGTATATTTTTATTAAATATTAATATCTATGTAAATAGTAATATCTATCTTTATTTGAAAATAGTAAATATCTATGTAATTAAAAAATTATTATTAAATTTCTAGATTTTCATTTACTTCTGAGAAATTTCCTAATATCAACTTTTGCCTTGAGATTCGCGAAAAGACTTGATAGGTAGACCGTACAAGAACACGACGGTATCAATGGCGAAAAGGAGGCCTCTCTCTGCCGTTCTTCCTCAGCACACCCCGGGACAATCTTCTCGATGCTGTCCAATTCCCGACCCCGGCAGATCCTCTTCCTGGAACACTGGCTTCGAGCGGCGGCCGCTGTTGACGCCTCTCAAACTCCTTTTCCTGCTGCTGCTGCTCCTCCTTCGGCGGCTGTGATCCTCCGGTCGTGGGCCGACCTCCGTGACCCCTCGGCCGACCCTCCTCGCCTCCTCTCCGCTCTCCTTACACTCTCCCGCGGCCGCTCCGCCCTCCACGTCTCCGACCCCCAGGCCAAGCTCCTCCTCTCCCTGCTCCCTTCTTCCTCTCCTGACGCCTTCCCCCTCGTCCTTTCCCTCCTCTACACCTATCTCCGCAAGTCCTCCCGCCCTTCCACTCCCCTCCTTCTCTCCATCCTCTCCGTCTCCTCCTCTTTTCCCCCGTCGACTCACTCCATCCTTCTCCTCGGTGCCCTTTCCGCCTCCCCCGCTCTCCCCGCCTCCGCCCTAACGCCCTGCCTCGACTACCTCTGCTCTTTCTTGGATTCCTCCCTGCCCGCGATTTTCCGTGACGCCGACCTTCTTCCAGAATTTCTCGCCGGCATCGGCTACGCCCTCTCCCGATTGGAGGACGATGCGCGTCTTGGAAAAATCCTTAACTTCCTGTTTCGGATTTGGTCCGCCGAAGCCGGTGGGCTTCGACCCTCGCTCTCCCATGGCCTTATGGTTCTTCGCTTGTTCGAGTGGTGCACGTCGGGGTTCCTGGCTTCAAGGTCTTGGAGCAGAATTGAGTCGCTCTGCGGAGAGATCTCAGCGAACAGGAGCAAATCCAGGGGGAATTTCGCTCCCCTTTTGGTGTTGATGGCTCCTGCCGGAGTTCTGAGGGCTTTCAGAAGCAATAGGGTTGAAATTGACCCTCGGCTGAGGAAGTCTATCGAAGAGTCGATAAGTTATGTCGCAGAGTGCACCATTTCTAGAATTGGGACTGATTCTGGTTCTAATGTATCGGATGACAGCCATGTTCTGCTGCAGTGCATGGCAATTGGTTTGGCTCAGTGCGGCTCGATTTCATTCAATGCGTCTGTGCTTCGGTGCCTTTGTCTCTCATTGTTGAACGAAGTCTTTCCCCTGCAGTATTTCTTTAGGATGTCCTTAGAAAATGTGAATGAAAATTCGGCCACCTGCAAGGCAAAGGAGCATTTAGGTAGTGCCCTTTTTAAAGAAGCAGGTGCAGTGACTGGAGTCTTCTGCAATCAGTATGCATCTGCAGACGAGGTCAGCAAGGCAATGGTTGAAAACCATTTGTGGGATTATTCTCAAGAGGTTTACTCGAATCTACGTTTAGCAGCATGGGTTCATCGAGGGAAGAGTGATGAGTTGCTCGGGGATTTGGAAAAGATTGCCGAAGCTGCATTCTTGATGGTAGTTGTCTTTGCTGCAGAGGTTAGCAAACATAAGTTGAACAGCAAATCTTCTCATGAGTTCAGACCGGAGGTCTCTTCTAGGATCCTTGTTGCATTCTCTTGCATGGAGTATCTTCGTCGTGTTCGCCTGCCCGAGTATACCGAGGCAGTTCGCCGTGCTGTTTTAACCCTCCAGGAGAATGCAGATCCATGTGTTTCATTTGTCGAGTCAATGCCTCCTTACACCGAGCTAACAAAAGCACAGGGTATCTGGTCAATCTTTAAAACTTCAAAAAAAAATTTTATTTGTTTGATATCTTTTGGTTTTTATTTGTATATCCCTATTTTCATATATTTGGTAACAGGCTCAATTATATTGGAGAGGATGAGATATATTTGGTCACAAGATGAAGTGCAGACTTCTCGTATATTATTTTACCTGCGGGTTTTGCCAACTTGCATAAGTTTTGTCCCTACCTCCTTGTTTGGGAAACGAGTAGCACCGACCATGTTCTTGTATCCTTATCTGAATGTATTAGCATGCTGCAAGAAAGTAAGACCTATATGGAGATTATGCTATTCCTTAATATAAGTTTGACAGATATATGCAACACCCTAATGAAAAAGTAACCCGAGCTTCACACTCCATATTTGTTTCTTTTGTATCCTCTGGCAAGGATTCCGATCAGGATGATAGAGTTGTTTTAAAGGAGCAACTTGTTTTCTATTACATGCAGCGAGCTTTGCAGGTAGGTACCTTAGTCATCTAAACCTTGTTGGTTGACTTGTGTTTGATCATCTGGATCTCCTTCAACTCTCCTCTTCGACTTTCACAACATACAGGTTTATCCCAGGATTACACCATTTGAAGGTTTGGCTTCTGGTGTTGCTGCTTTGGTCAGGCATCTTCCTGCTGGAAGTCCAGCAATATTTTATTGTATTCATAGCCTTGTGGCAAAAGCTTCTGACCTTTGTGGGAAAGCCATGAGTGAAGATCCAACCATGTGGAAAAATTGGGAAGGAAGTTCAGGACCTCCTAAAAAGGTCCTGGATCTTCTACTTCGCCTCATTTATCTTGTAGATATACAGGTATGTTTCAGATGCTAGTCTGTGAAGATCTTTGTACAACTTCTGTTTTTACTTTTTTTCCAATTGCATAATGAGGGAGACTAGCACTCGCAAAACTAGATCTTGGCATTTTATGTAACGTCATTCTGTTGTGTCTTTGTGGTGCAAGTTTGGTATGTATGATGAAGCTAACTATGGATGGGTCTTCATACTATCATTTATATTAATCTTGTGGCCCTAAATACTTTCGTGATAGTGATTTTACTTAGCATGAGGACCTTAGTTTCCACATTGCCAGAACTATGCTATGATACCTTTATTTTTGTAAAGAACTAGGTGGTTCCCTTGAACAGTGACCTATCATTGTAAAGCTATTTTTGTCGCCACTGAAGTAGTGTTTTGTTTTCTATGCTAAACATGTTAGGAATAACTATAGGTTAGATACTAATAACAAGAATTTAATGTACATGAATGTTTTTTATTACAAATCTTTTTAAGAGAATAAACTGATGAAAGAAATATGTTGCATGCATGTCAATCTATGTTACAGAAGAAAAAAACCTAATATTTGGTCTTCAAATGGTGGCTGTAATAGTTGCATGTTGAACGACAAGATCTTCATCAACTGAATGTTTCTTCAATAGTTGACAGGAAAAACATACGTACATAGGATGTGGAGGATAATATTGTTCTTTTTTTTGGGGGGGAAGAGGAGAGGGTGTGGGTGGCAGTGGTACCTGAACTAGTGTAGAATAAGCATCTGGTCTTTTGTTCAAAGTGGATTATCTTCCCTTCCCTTTGAGAATTTGCAAATTTTTGGAATGATATAAAAAAATGATAAGAGGCAATTCAATTGGAAAGAGTCTGCATATAAAAATGATCATGCTTCCATTTGAGTGAAATCTTTATTATAGCACAAGAGATTTTGTTACCTCATCTTTTGAGGGCAGAAGCTCCTATAATAGAAATTTTGATAAATGGATTTAACAAAATAGGACAAAATGGATATATGCAAAGAGTTGCCTATGCATGCAAGATCATAAATCAGTTACTACTGGCAAAGCCTGAAGAGCAAATGCCTTTTGGTCTTCTGTCACATTATAAGATTCCTTTGCCATGGTATCATGTCTGTAGCAGTTGTCAAGGCATATGCTCTGACATGCTTAGTTTAGGATGCCATCTGCCATTGTGTACTGTCCCAGCATGATTGGTGAGATCTTCTTGTCAATGCTTTATTAGGAATTTAAGACAACATTTCATGATTAAAATTGGGACTCAGGACTTGGGGACTTGTTGCTACTTTTGGTCAGTTATTGTCATACTTGAGAGCAATAAGCAGAATATTAAGTTGGCATCTGATGTTGTAAGAGTTGATCAGGACACCTATAAATAAATGATGATCCTCTTTCCAAAGCTTGTACTATATTGAGATAGATAGAATGCATGTGTAAACTGTGCCGAAATACTCGAGTCATTCTCTCTCATGTATACTCTTTACTTCTGAATCCCCCCTATTTACCCTTATAACCAGATCTGAAAAACAACTGTCCAAAGAAACAAACGATCCCCCCAATTCTTCCTTGCCCATGCTTCCAGTGGATAATTCTATTTGCTGAAAGAACAATGTAGTTAAATACTTGTGCTGACTTCAATGGATAACTCTATTTGCTGTATAAACTAATGGAGACCCTGAAATGCCTGATCAAAGTCTGCAGTGTCATCACAGGAATATAAGTTGCATACAGGCTACCTTGCAGTTGTGTTTCCATGTACGGTTGGTAAAATGATTCTGAATAAACATTTTGCTTTGATAATTACACCACACCAATGTTGAAACTGACTGGTGATAGAACAAATCAGGTTTAGTATTTTGTTTCCTTCTCATTTCAATTTGTCGATGCAATTTATTTCGTTGTCTTTACTACATCTCGGCGAGTATGAATTTAAATGAAAATGA